GGCTTGGGTACGCACACTTGGAAATGTGTGATTCTTCATTTTTAAAAAATACAGCTTTATTGATATGTAATACACATACCATAGAATTCACCAATTTAAAGTGTACAATTTAATGGTTTTTCTAAAAAGCATATTCAGAGTTGTGCAACCATCATCATTCAATTTTAGAACATTTCCAACACCCCAAAAGAAACCCTGTACCCACTAGCAGTCACTCCTCATCTTTCCCAAGTCCCTCGGCCCTAGGTAACCGCTAATCTACCTTCTGTGGCAACACGTGCTCTTCTGTGTCTGGCTTCTTTCACTTACGCAGTGTTTTCAGGTTTCATCCATATTGTAGCATGTATCAGTACTTCATTCCTTTTTGTTGCCATATGAGATTCCACTGTATGGCTATACTACCTTTCATTTATCTGTTCATCAGTTGACAAACATTTGGGTTGTTTTTACCTTTTGGCTACTAGGAATAATGCTACTGTGAACATTTGTGTACAAGTCTGCACGTGGACATGTTTCATTTCTCTTGTTCTCTGTGTGATTCTGGTACACACAAACATGGGTGGCGGTGCCTGGCATGAAGGTGCCAATAGCCATGCAATGCCCAGCTCAGTTTTAAGAGGCCAGGGAGGCCCCACATTGCTCTTCCTGATCACTGATGGGCTCCCCCAGGACCCTCACCACCACTCCAGCCTTTACCTGAAGCTCTCAGGGCCAGCAGGCAGGGGAGGAAGGAAAGGCAGGCCTTCCACCTCTACCTGGCAGCCAGCCAAGGAGCTACTACGGCTTACCTTGCAGGAAGTGGGCCCCACCATGGTGGGCGATGAACACTCGGATCCAGAGCTGATGCAGCATCTGGGGGCTTCCAAGAGAAGTGTCCTGGGAAACAACTTGTAAGTAGTGGCATCCATCAGTATCTTCCCCCTGCCAACCCCTAGACCTGCCTGTTCCCTTTATACAGCCACCAAGCCCAGGACAGAGCCTGTACCCTGGGGCTCAGTCCTCTGTAGGGGTGGTCCCATCTGCAGTCTCCCTGCAGCCCCCCTGAGCCTTGCCCTGAAAGCCTTTGCACTGGAAAGCTTGCCCATCATTAGTGGAACCCCAGGACAGATCTGTCCTCTGGGTCTAGATCACCATAAGTGGGCTGTTCCTTGTCCTGCCCTCATCTCTAAGCTGGACCCATCAGCAAAGACAATGCAGAGAAAGGTTTCTGCCTTAAAGAGCTGGCTGAGTAACAAAGCTAAGTCCTAGAAACGGAACAGGAAGCCTGGCTCTGACTTCCAGCGTGGCTGCTGCCACTCGACTTGGCCACTTCCCTTGGCATCCTTCACACCATCTCCGTGTCTGAAATGTGACCACTGCTTCCTTTTCTGCTCCCTCAGCCCCTCCTACCTGTAGGCAGGGAGAACCCTGGCTACACAGGCTCAGGAGCCCTGAGAAGAGTTGCCGGAGCGAGTCCGGGTTCAAGGCGGCGAAGGGAAGGCTAGCTGATCCTAGCGCCTTGGGTCAAGGTTGGAGGGCAGAAGCCAACTCCCTGCCTTTGCCATGAGGCATTTGCTTGAGCCCTTTATCTGCATGCTGGCCCTTCAGCATCAATGAAACCTGAAAGAAGGGAAACCAAGCATTCTCCGTGCCGGGGTATGGCACACAGAGCCAGGAGCTATTAGGGGCCACCCTTGTTGCTCCAGGACTGCCGGAGAGCCAGGGCAACAAGAGGCCCAGAGGCCCGGGAGAGGAGCAAGCCCAGGGAGCACAGGCCACTCCAGTGAACAGCGGAGTGCTCAGGGCAGGTGTGGCTGCTGTCAGAGTACCGTGGAGTCTCTATCTGTATGACGCTGGGAAAGCTACTTGACCCCTCTCCTTTTTCTCATGTATAAATGGGAACAATAATGGTACCTTCCCTAGGTTGTTGGGAAGAATAAATAATTCATGTGAAGTGCTTAGCAGGGAGAGGGCAGAGAAAGTGCACTTAGCCTGGCACCAGCAAATGTCAGTCACCACGATGAGAGCTCCTGCAGGCCTAGCCTTCAGCAGACACTAGTGTCGTAGGGGGAGCTTGCTCTGTGTGCGCCTCCTCACACCACCCACCCTGGTCTCTTTGCAGTTGTGAGTACTACGTCAATGATCCTCCTCGCATAGTCCTGGACAAGCTGGAACGCAGGGGCTTCCGTGTGTTAAGCATGACAGGGGTGGGCCAGACGCTGGTGTGGTGCCTGCACAAGGAGTGACCTTCTCACAATGACTCGTGGACGGGGCACCTCTTCTCTGGAGGGGCTGCCGTGGGCCCCTCCCCCAATCCCCTGCCTCACTGACTGCCTTGTCCCAGGTTGTCCCTGCCCCCAGCCCATCCCCAGTGGGTAGTGAATGGCCTTCTCTGCAACCCTGCCTTGGTCACTGGGGGAGGGCAGGGCCCCTTGCCGCAGTGCTCCCAGCTGCCCTCCTGCTTCAGGCCTGACTGAGGGCTTTGGCATAGGCCATGTTCTGTGTGCCGCGCTGGCACTCCAGTGGAGGATGGTGCCAGGACTTGGCAGGCGGGTCCTGCGTAGCTAGTCCAAGCCAATAAAGGGCTGTGATGAGTGGTTGCTCCTCTGCTCTGCTTGTGTCCGGACTCTCACCACATGAGGCCTTTCCCTGGGGGTCTGCCCACTCCCCAGGAGGGAGCCCAGGCCTGGGAGGAGCCCTCTGAGGCAGAGCCCAGCACCCTGTACCTATATGGAGTAGAGATAGACTATTAAAAACAATTTTTATTGGTCATGTTTAAGGAAAGGGCTGGGGGTAGGCTGGAGCCCCAGGCTACGTGGGCTGCTCCTCTGGGTCTTCCTGCTGCATCCGGGCGCTCAGCTGTTGCCGCTCAGCGGCCTGGCGCATGCGCATCATGACCAGGCTCTCGTAGTCCCTCTCTGACAGCACTGAGCCCTGGGGACAGAGAGGGGATGGGGAGGCGTTAGGGACACCAGGGCACAGCCCTATGGACTCCGGACTCAGAGGACGGGGCCTAAGCACGCTGCTGTCTAAGAGTTGAGGAGGGAGGAGGGCAGAGGAAGGGAATGACCCTGGAACATCCTTCTGGAATCCCACTCATCTGTGTTCCCCCAGGGAAGGCGGGCCACTGGCCTCCAGGCCAGTTTCTCCTCAGCTGGCTCCCCTGCAGTCCCTCTCAGCCAGTCATGTCAACCAGTTTTTTAACCTTCCCTTTACCCAGGCCCTTCACGTCTCCGGTCAGCTGTGGTTCACCTGTCCCGCACCAATCACGGAATCACTTCATGTGCTCTAGCCAGGCCCTGATCTCCCCTCATTTCCTCTCAGCCCTTTAGCTGACACTCCGTCCCTCCCACTGTGGCTTCTGCCTCTCACAGGTTTCCAAGGAAGGGAGGCTGTCAGAGGTGCAGGGATGCGCTGGGCTCTGCCCCTCCCAGCTGCCCAGCTCCCTGTGGCCTGGCTCCCGCTGAGGACGCAGAGGGACCTGCCCTCCACACAGCCTCAGACAGCCCCACCCAGCAGGAGAGGAACGGCTGTGCAGCGGCTTCCCTCCTAAACACGCAGCAGAGCTCCTGGCGGGCAGGGCCCGCGGCTCTCTTTTACCATCTTGCCAGCACAGTGCGGGGGATTAAGAAGTACTGTATTTTAGTAATCAGAAGAATAACAACCACCTCAATAGGCTAAGACTGTGGGTGGAGCTCCACAGCAGAGCCCTGAGCTGCCACCTCCACACCGGATAAGGTGTGCGGTGGGAATTAAATCACTTCCTCCCTCAGTGCCGCTGAGGCTGTGTGATGATCATGTGGTCCCCACAGCTGCTCAGAGTAGTGTGAAGTCCACCCGACTTGGCACAGAAGTGAGCCAGGCCAGGGGTTGCAAGATGCGGTGGCTTGTCCATAGCAGAACTGTTGAGCCCTGTTCTGTGGCACACCACACTGGTGCTCTCATCAAACAAGCCAGGAGGAAAATGTGGTCAGTGACCCGGGGAACAAGAAAGGAGTGGCCGAGGTTGAGACGCCAGGCCCTGGCCAACTGGTTTGGAGTAAGGGGTGTACAGAAACAGGAAGTGCTACTCAGCCTGGATTGCCCCTGCTCCTCCCGACAGCCCCACCCTTCTCTTCCTAGGAGAGCTGGCCTCCCAGCCAGGCCCACCTGCTACGCTTGGCCCAGAGCAGGGCTGACAATTCATGGCAGCCCCACGTGGCCCACCCCTTTCACACAAGAGGGACCCCAAGGGAGGACCCTGGCCCTCCACTGCTTTCTTCCTGCCAGGAGGCCATCTGGGTAAAACAAGGGAGGACAAGGAAACTGAGCAGCCAGACTGGATGGCAGGCCAAGGGGAGGGCAATTGTCCCCTCTCGAAGTTAATGCTGCTCTGCCAAGAAAACTTGGAGTCACCCTTGGCATGCCCCCAGCCCTACCCTGGGAGGAGCTGAGCCCTTTACAGGCACGGGGCTGCTGCCCCGATTCCTACAGTCTCTGTTAATGAGGGCCTGTCACCAGGCCCCAGGGCTGAGTCACCCACACCAGTGGCAGGTCTCTTCCTTCCACAATTGTTCCACACGCCTGCCTTTCAATTAACTCCCACCCTCCCTGAGCTCCTCCCACCCAGACACACTGTGGGCTGGGGAGCCTGCCTGCCTGCTGGGCCCAGGGCAGGGGCGCTGTGATGAGAAAGGAAGCAGTGTGGTGACACATAAAGCAGGGCTGCCCCCAGACAAGTCCCCAGAGGATTCTTAAGCTCCCCATTGCCCTGGGGTGTTGGTCACAGCTGCCCCAATCCTGCATGCGGATGCTGCAATTACCTCAGAGCATGAAACCCGGCTTCCCACCTGACTGAGTCAGCTGAAAACACAAACACATCTTCACCACCACAAACAGCCAAGCCACTAATCAGAGTCGGGAGCCGGCGGCAGAGAGGACACACTGCCCTAGAGACGGCACAGGAGCCAGGCCCCTCTGCCTCCTGCCTATGGAAGGAGCACAGGCTGCTCCTGCCTGGCCCAAGAAGATCCATCTCTGCCGCCTCCGGAGCTGCCCTCACTCCAGCTCCAGTAAGTGCTGCTTCTTCCTCTTGGGGTTTTTTCCACTGCCCTCTCAAGTAACCAGGCCACTCCTGTCCCTGGGGAAACTTGCTGCCAGAACTCCCAGCTCTCTGCTCTCCTGGACAAAAAAGCACCCTCTTCCTGGGACTTCATCTCACCATTGAAGACACGGCCAAAGGTCTGTGCTGAGCAGAAACCCCGAGGCCTCTGCTTCTAGCCCACTCAGGGTGGCTCCCTGATTCTTGGCATTCACTGCTCCAGCACGGATCAAATGTTCACCAGCTGCTCTTGAACGCCTGTCTGCCGGGCTTCTGAGGCACCAGGCCTGTCTGCTGGCTGCCCTGGGCCCCATGGAGACCTGGCGGAAAGGCTCTTTCCGCAATGCCTCCTTCTTCAAGCGGCTGAGCCTGGGGCGGCCACGGCGACTCCGGCGACAGGGCAGTGTGCTTAGCCAGGCCAGCACGGCTGGTGGTGACCACGAGGAGTACAGCAACCGAGAGGTCATACGGGAGCTGCGAGGGAGGCCAGATGGCCGGCGCCTGCCACTGTGGGGGGACGAGCAGCCCCGGGCCACCCTGCTGGCCCCACCTAAGCCCCCACGCCTCTACCGAGAGAGCTCCAGCTGCCCCAACATCCTGGAGCCCCCACCCGCCTACTCTGCTGCCTACTCAGCCACCCTGCCATCAGCACTCTCTCTGGGGGACGCCCTACACCAGTACTCAGAGGACGACCTTTTGGACACTCCCCACTTCCAGAGGACACCTGCTCCGGACCTCAGTGATCCCTTCTTCTCCTTCAAAGTGGACCTGGGGATTTCACTTCTTGAGGAAGTCCTGCAGATGCTGAGGGAACAATTTCCCAGCGAGCCCAGCTTCTGAATGGGGTGAGGGTAGGCAGAGCTGGGGTGACTAGAAGAGCCAGAGCCTGGGGACCCAGGGAAGCATGGGACAATCATGGATTAAGGAATGGGCAGCAATAGGAATCCAGGGCTCTGGCTGCCCTCTGGGTCCTGAACTGTTCTCCAAGTCACCCCAGAGTGGAGGGACAGAGGCAAGCTGGAAATGTTGGGGGGGTACCTCATGGCAGGAGCCCTGAAGGAAGCTGGCTGGGCCTGGAAAGGGAGGCCACGCCCTGCAACCACAGGAGCCAGGCAGAGGCGAGCAGAGCCAGAGAGCAGCATGGGGGTGAGTAAGGGAGTGGGAGGACACAGCAGAACAGACAGGTGCCCTGCACCACCCCCCTTGGAAGCCACTGTCAACAGAGAGAGGTCACAGGACAAGCCCGGGCAAAAGTGGTCCAACCCAGGCCAAAGAGGAAAGCAGGCAGACCTGAGAGGAGAAAGGAGACAGGCTCTACCCTGTTCAACCTGGTGGCCACTTGCTACATGAGGCTATTTAAATTGAGACTGAAATTAAATAAAACATTAAGTTCCTCAGTTTTAAATGTTCAGGAGCCCCACATGATTAAGGCTGCCACACTGGATGGTAGAATGGACATTCCCACCAGTGGACAGAGTCCTACTGGACTGCACTGGCTAGAGCACAGCCCGGAGCCCTGGCAGGCAAGGGGGAAGCACGTGGGGGCTGCAAGGGAAAGGAGGGGCTGGTGGAGTAGGAAGAGAGAGGTAGGTAGAGATATCGAGCATAACTCAGGACAAAAGCCACACAAACATTGGCAGAAGAGGGGCCATGAGAGACTCAACCTCCCGACACAGCCGCCAGAGCAATCCCTGGTCCCTGAGGCAGGCAGCGCTCGGGAATGCCAGCAGAAGGCACAGGCACAGCTTACAAAGGGGTGTTCTGGGAATTCCCAGAATTATTAGTGATGGGAGCCCTTGGGAAATGCAGCAAAACAGTGGCAGATTTCCTTCCTAGAAGAGAGGAGGACTGGAAAGGAGATGGACGCTAAATGGTAGAGAGACACAGCTGGGCTCCAGAACCTTCCGCCAAGACTGGGGAGCTCTGCTTTGCCCAAACCCTCTGACAATGGGCCTTCCAACCAAGCCAGGCCCGCTGGGTCAAGGCCACAGGCTGTGTGCTACTGCCCCACCCTGTGGCCTGGCCAGAAGGCTTGAAGCAAGAGCCCAGCAGCACTCAGCTGGGCCACGTGGTACTGGCCCCTGGGGCTCTCCAAGAGTGGCAGGGGGTAGAGGGAGGCTTCTACACACACCGCTTCCACAACCCGAATCAGTGGCCTCCCTCTTCGCTTCTCTTGTTAGAGGTGCCGAGTTGAAAGGCTCCTCTGTGGATATAGGAGAGAATGAATAAAACTCTTTCTAACAACCTGTGGAGTGTCATCTGGGGCTGTGAAATGCTGGGACTTAAAGCAGGGGGAAGAGTTGAGGTCTCTAAAGCATGGTCCCGAGTTTGGTTCAGACCAGTCTGTGTTCTCCCCTGCCCAGGGTCCAGGACGAGGAAGGTGGAGGGGCAGGGAGAGCAGGGTGACGTGGCTGAGGGCAGTGGGAACAGCCTCCTGCCTGCCAGCCTGCCAAGAGACTGCAGACTGGCCCCAGGCCACTGCAGAGAAGGGGAGAGCCAGGTTGCTAGCTCTTGCCCCCAAAGCAATCTGTCACACATAGGTGGATGCAGGTGCGGCCAGGAGCCCTACAGCAACAGCCTCTGCATCCAGGCCAGAAAGCACCAGGGCCGTGGTGGGAGGGTGGGGCTGCTGAACATAAGGCTTCATGGAGCCGTGAGGACAAACAGCTGGCATGGGGCTGGCATCATCTGGAAGGTCTACACTTCACCACAGTGTCTGGGTCAGGCAGCAATCCAGTGTCAGCAGGGTAGCCAGTGTTATTTCTAAAGAGGAGACACTGCCTCTTGGCAGTTGGCCTCTGCCTGGCGCAACCAATGACACACCTGGAAAACCGAAGAGCTGGGGAGGCAAGCTGCCCTCGTCAACTGCCCCTTCCTGCAGCACTAGGTCGGCTAACCTCCAAATACCTCACACCACACACAACCAAGCCCGCCTCCTGCAGGCCAGGGGGATCCCTTTGGGTAAAGATCAGAGTCCCAACAGGAGACCGGACGTGGAAGGCAGGCAAGGTCTAAGAATAGTGTGTAGGGGAGGGTCCCTCTGGCCCTCAGAGAGTAAAAGGGGTCACGGTGGAACCACAGCCCCTCCTGCTCAGGGTGGTGAACTGGCCAATCTCACTCTATGCTCAAAGACCTGAATTTGGGAGGAAAGGGCCCCTAGAGGAGCCCAAACAGGAAGAGCTTCCCTGAGTGCTGGGCAGACCCAGCTGGGTAAGGCTTGGCTCCTTACCTTTGACAGGCCTGGGTAGCTGGGGCCCGCCGTGCCCTGGGGCTGTCCCTCCAACCAGGAAATCTTCAGAGGGTTACTGGCCAGGCCAACTTCATTCTGGAAAGCCAGCTCCTGGCAAATATAGCATCCAGTCCTGGGCCTGTCCACCAGACCAGCTATAGAGAGGCTCTCTCTACCCCGACAGAAAGGACAGAAGCAGCATTCTAGTCCTCTCAGCTGAGCAGGGGCAACCTCAGCAACCTTCAAACGATGGGGCCTTAAAGCTTTGATGTCAAACTTCCCTTCTTGTGGGAGAATGACGGGGATGCACCTTCTGATTTGGGGGAGTGAGGAGAAGCATGAAGGGTGGGAAGGCAGTGCTGGGGCTCACCACCTCAAGGGGTGCAGGGTGGAGGGTGTGAAGCCAGCCAGCAGGGAACGAAGAGTCAGTGTGCACTCCCTCCATTCCCAGGGCATTCTCCCATCCACCCCTTCATGTGCAGCACTTCTATCCCCAGGAGTCAGGAGCCTCTCGGGGAGCCTTGGCTCTGAGCTGGCCCAGCATCCCCAGGAAGTATGGAACACCTAACTCAGCGGGGCCACAGAATTGGGTCCCTGCCGTAGAATGACAGGGCCACCAGTGGCCCCCAAGCCTCACGCAGCACTCACCGCAGCCTTGACAGTCGCAAACTCCACCACAGCCATGCCCGCCTTCTTACTGGAAAGCACGAGGTTGAGAACCTCACCATACTGTGGGGACAAGGGAGTCCCAGTAAGCATGGCTTGGCCTTTAGGATGGCCCAGCTCGTGCCAGAGACGAACCTGGGCTGCTCTGAGGCCCACTGCAGCATTTGCAGCTGGGGGATAACTTCTTATTGCTAGAGTCCCAGAGAAGTGAGATCAGAGATCAGAAAGAAAGAAGGTTTTTTCTAGGAACGCAGGACAGCAAAGGAGAGATAAGTGAAGGACTGGGAACTTGGACTGGCATAATCACAGCTGCCTTGCTGGTTGAAAGTAGTGAAGAGGACAGGGTTTTCGTGCCACACACCCACCTCCTCTCTCCCAACACACCCAGCCAAGCCCTTTGTTTCTAAGGATGGTAGGGGACAGACCTAGACAGCAAAGGAGAGATCAGGCTGGAGGAGGCACATGGCAACACAAGAGAAAGGAGGACCATGGCCTAGGGAGAAGTCTCTAGGCTGTTCTATGGTCTATGAGATAGCCAAAAAAAACAAGCAGGTAGAAGAGATGTTAAGCAAAGTTCAGGCATAGAGAGTTCTGGGATATGGGCTGAGACGTGGCCTGAGGTGACAGGAAAGACAGGAAGTCAGAGGTGCAGACCTTTTGCAAAAGCCGCAGGAGAACATCTTTGGAGTAGCCACCTCTTGACTCATCCACCTTCTTGCACTTCCATTTTAGCTGAAAAGACAGTATCATTTAACACTGACCCTTAGCCGAATGGCAAATGGTACCTAACCCCATGACTGGGCTTTAGTCTGAGCAGATACCGCTGACTCTCCAAGGTACCTGCAATCTAGAGAGCACCACCAAGACATGTTTTCCCCTTGGAAACATAGGCAGGGCAGCCTGCTCACCCCAGGAATGCTTCCAGCCCTTCGAGGGCTTCTGGGGAATGCTGCCCTGCAATCGTCAGGGCTAAGAGCAGCCTTTCACGGCAAGCTCTGGGAAGCAGTCTGTTCTCCAGGCAGCTGGAGGACAGAAAGGAAACGGCAGTGGTGCTGGTTCCCCTCAGAGATCCAGTGTCTCCACCAGAACCCCTCAAACCACAGGATGCATCCATTCTGGCTGAGAGGAGGTGGTGCTGAGTATGAGGTGGCCCACAGATCCTGCCCATGCTCACCTTTAGTTTGGGGGTTCCTTTGTCATCAGTATTTTCTGCCTTTCCTGGAAACGTTGGGAAAAGAAGAAAGGTCGAATATGAGAGAGTAAGAGGTTCTCCCAAAGGAGATGCAGCCCAGAGCCAGAAGGACCTCCTGACCAAGAGCAGTATCTGCCCTGCCCTGTGAGGCCCTGGTGGGGAAAGCAGATGCAGTGCTCCCATCCCCAGGGAAGCTGCCACCCCAAGAGTGGTCTCCCCAGCTGCCTGAGAGCCACCTGTTAGCATTCTCCAAATGAAGAGCTGGGAACACCTTCTGGGGACAGGGCGCAGAGACACAAACTATGCGGTTCTACTGAAAGAAAATATCCCAGAGCCTTTCTCCCCACTGATCTGCTTCCGAACAGAGCCACCTCTGCTTGGGACTAAGAAAAATGCAGCCACGAGATCTCAGAGTAAAAAGCAAATAGACCCCAGAGAACTGGTAGGAAGAAGGGTCAGGTGGCATATGTCAGAGTGAGGTGCCATAGGGTGCCCCCAGGGCTCCAACAGGTGGAAGCCTCCACAGCAACTCCACCAAGCAGCCAGTGTGGCCACTTTGGCAATCTGGAGCTGCCTTGGAGGGGGAGACAGGTGGGTGGAATGGACTCTCACCTCTCAACCTCTGGTCACGTTCCTGGCGTATCTGCTCCCGGATCAGCCTCTGCTGTTCCTGTAGTTGCCGGGAACCTTCTTCTCGTAGGCGTTCGATCTGCAGAGCGGGGGGTGGAGGGGTGACAATTCTGTGCAGATCCAATTCCAGGTTGGCTCACCTTGTAAAGGTCCCTGGGAGGTTCCACCTGTAAGCTAGGGCTCAGCAACCTGTGGATGGGACAAATTACCCAGATCCCACAGAAGAGGGTGGAAAGTGCATGCCCTCTCCAGACATGACGGCCACCCAAGTCCATTCTCCTCCTCCTTTCCCACCTCCTCCTCCTCCTTCTGCAGATGGCCCTCAGGCCAGCGTGCCTAGATGCTCACCTCTTGCTCTAGTGTCCTGGTGCTCCTGCTGTCCTCCTCCTCCTCACTCCCCTGGGCCTGGGCCTGCTGCTCCCGAGCCTCTAGGTCTAGGCACAAGGGTTACATGATCCAACTACTAGTCTTCGCAGTTTCTACGTGGCCTGAGCCCACCTCAGCTCTGGCTCCTTCCCCAAAGTCTTACACAGGACAAGACCATACAGTAACTCCGCCCTCTCCCTCCGTGCCTATATGCCCCTGAGTTAATTCCCACTGAGAAAAATCATAGCACCGAAGTATGGGCTCCAGAGGAGTGGCCAGGGGTCTAGAACCAAGCTGGTCCCTTCCAATCAGTGAACAGGGTACAGATGGGTGCTTATGCCAGCAGCCCAGGACTATGTGTCAGGGTTGCCAGTGGGTGGAGCTGCTGGCCTCTGTTCCTGGGGCACCTTAGCCTGATCTTGGACCTTGCTTTGGCTTTGATTCTCTTTCTACCACTGAGTTCAAGTTCTCACTATCACCTTTACCTTCCCCCTCAACTCACATTTACCAAGCCTCACTGTGGATGGGCTGCAGTGGCTCCTACAGGGATGGGCAGACTGTGGGAAGGCATTACCCCAGGTCCCAGAGCCATTCCTGCCTTCTAGGGGAAATTTGCTTGCAGCCCTATACCACACCAGCTGCTGTGACAAGCCCTTCTCTCAGGCCTGGGAGGTTTGTGGATTGTGTATTTTACTTGCCTAGAACCTCCTTTTTTTTTTAATAGAGAAATGGATATATTGGGATGTATATGCACACATTAAAATATATGGATATTGAATAGGCAAGAAGAAAGGGCCAATCTTATTGGGTTGATGAAAATGTTCTAAAATTGATTTATAGTCACAGTTGCATCATTTGGTAAATTTACTAAAAATCATTGAATTGTATACTTGAGATAGGCTGATATTATAATATGCAAAGAATACCTCAATAAAGCTGTTAAAAAAGAAGAGAAAGCCTGAACCTCTTTGAATCCTTCTGAGGGAGCTTCTCAGAGTCAAAGCTCTGGGCAGGAATGAGGCTGGGACAAATACAAACACCCAGCTGGGGATGGTAACTATGACCCCTGATTTTACTCACACTGTATATTTAAATCCCAGCTCCAGCAAGTTCTTAAACTTTTGGTGCCTTAACTTCTTTGCCTACAAAAATGGGTTAGTAACACCCACTTCTTTGGATAGTTGTGAGAATTAAAGAAGTCAATAAAGCATTTGTCACAATGCTTAGCTAATAGTAAATCTAGTCATTGTTATTATTCCTAAGAGCATCTTTAGGAACCAACCTCTAAGAACAAAGTTTTGCCCAGAGACCCGAGCTAAGAGGCTTTGAGTCGATGGAAGTAAAGCTCCAGGAAGAAAAGTGAGGGGGATGAATGAAAATGGCCAAGGGAAACCGCAGGCCAGCCAGCACTACGACGTCACCTACCAAGCTTCACTCTCTTCCTTCTTTCATCAAGTTTCTGGGTCCTCTCCGCTGCCTGCTTCTTGGCTTTCCTGACCTTGTCATAAGCAGCCTGGCAGGAGAAAGGAACAGAGAGCAGTAGGTCCACCAGAGAAAAAGGACAGAGACCCAGCAATCCTCCTGGCCCCTGCCTCCTAGCTGCAGAGCCATCAAGGAAGCAGCCTGGTGACTGAGTCTCCAAGGCTTAGACAGCAAGGACTGTGCCATGTGGCAGAGGACAGAGGACTGAGGTTGAAGAGCAGCAATGGTCTCTAACCACGGGGCATAATTCAGTTAAAGGAGGATATACTTACCCTGGCTGCAGCATCGGTCAGCACCTCCAAGGCCTGAGAAAGCTGGTGGAAGAGTTCAGCTACACACACGGATCAAAAGGAGAGAAAGGAAAAAAACAAAGTTAGCCTTGGTGATGGTGTGCGTCCTCAAAAAAAAAAACACTTCAAGCCAGGCGTGGTGGCTCACACCTGTGATCCCAGAACTTTGGGAGGCCAAGGTGAAAGGAGCACTTGAGCCCAAGTGTTCGAGACCAGCCTGGGCAATGCAGAAAGACCTTGCCTCTACAAAATATATATACATATATATATATATATATATATGTATATATATGTGTGTATATATATATATGTATATATATGTGTGTGTATATATATATGCCAGGTGTGGTGGCATGCACCTGTAGTCCTAGCTGTTCAGAAGGCTGAGGCAAGAGGATCACTTGAGCCCAGGAGTTTGAGGCTGCAGTGAGCTATGATTGCATCACTACACTCCAGCCCATGCAATAGCAAGACCCTGTCTCAAAACAAACAAACAAACAAAACAAAACAAAACAAAAAACACTTCAAAGAAGCCATAGGTTACTTGGAAAAAAAGGTCTTAAGGGAAAAAAAAGCCACAGGATGGGCAGAAAAGCCAACATCAGCAGATGACAGACCAGCAAGGATGGGTGAGCACATCAGCAACTGACTGGACACCCCTAACATGTGAAGGAAACCCTGGGACCCGCTTTCCCAGAGCCAGGCTATGTGCGCCTACACTCCACACACAGAGCTTAGATTGAGAAACAATGCCCAGGTGAGTAGGTCTCTTTCTCTCTATCCTCTTGGGAGGAGGGTCTCACCTGCCCTGGGATTATCCGGATTTTTGTCTGGGTGGCAGGAGAGGGCCTTCTGCCTATATGCCTTCTTCACCTGCAAGAGTCAGACAGAAGACGTGGTCATTCACTCTCTCACCCCAGGGACAAACAGGAAAAACCTTGCTCAAGTGATAAGGGAAATCCCATGCCCACATAAGAGAGAGGCTCCTGGGAGGCGGCAAAGGCCATGGAGGCAGCTGGCCACTGCCACCCAGCTGAGAAGCCGGGCCTACTTCCTGCTGAGTGCTCAATCTCAGATGTCAAGGGGCTCCTGGAAGAGGTAGGAGCACAGTGTCCTGGTTTCTTTACAGCCACCTGAAGACAGGTACTCTTATACATTCTTACTTGGCATGTAAACTGGGGCAACATTTCTGGAAGAAACTTTAGACCTTAAATTTTAACATGTACTTTCCTTTTGACCCAGTCCTAGGAATTTGGACTTGTAGAAGTATGCCAAAATAAATATACATGGATACTCATTGCAACACTGTTTATAACAGTCCCCCACTGAAGCCAGCCAGGATCTCCATCAATAGGGAGACCTGTTAAAAAAATTATGACAGATAGAGGTCTCTAAATGCTGACACAGAAAGATCTTCAGGGTTAGAATGTGTGAAAAAAGCATGGCTCGGAACAGGGTATATGTAGTATGATCACTTTGGGGTTTAAATTAAACAAACAAATACATGAAATATAGTTACAGATACTCGAGCATGTGCATAGTTGTCATTTTATTTTTTTTCTCAAAGCAATCCTGAAACTTAATAGAGGTTTCCTTTGGAGAAGATGAAGGTAGGGAGGAAAGAAGCATTTACTTCTCATTTTATACCTTTCTGTAGTTCAAAATTTCAAAACTTCAGCCTTATTTTATTATTATTTTTTATCACCAAAAGGATTTTTCTTAGTGGGGATATTATGGTCCATTTTAAATTTTCATCTTCATATCTCTCTGTATTAAAAAGAAAAAACCCTAATATTTCTTATATTAGTAAAAATAAACAAACATAGCTACCAGGATTCTCTTTCATGTGTTACCTACCTAGCTGTTGTAAGTGAAAACAAAGTACGAAATCCCAGAATCTGCCCCCTGCCTCCCAAAGCCTTTGCCTCCTCACTTCTGCTCTGTATGTGTTACCTGCCGGCTCAGACCTCCTGGAGGAACAGCTAAGCAGACTGCTGGCTTTCCAAGCTTCCCAGATAGAACCAAGAGAGGCTTCTATGCCCAAGTGTGCTAAATAAAGACCTTCAGAGGTAAGCAGCCAGCAACCAGCATCTGCCAGGGATGGCCTGTCCGGTAGGTGCCTGACTCAACTCCTACCTCCATGAGGCTGCCACCCGGCCTAGGACCCCTGGGGGTGTGCTGCCACCTGCTGGGCCACAGCCAGCACCACCCCTTCATCTGCCAGGGCAACCCAAGCCAAGAATGGCTCTCCTGACTCAGCTGGAGGCAGCAGGAACCCCTCCCAGGACAGGCCTCAGGCAGTGAGACTGTGGATGTGCCTCCCTGCCCTACCCCGCCTTCCTGATCACCCCATGCACACCTGACCTGCTGCTCACCTCCCCACCCTCACCCTCCCTCTCTAGCTCTGCTTTCACTATAAAAAATAACAATACTAAAGGAAGGGGAGTTGCTAGCTTTATAGACAGTCTTACATTTGCAATGTCATCGTTGCTCTTTAGGTCCCCTATCATTCGTCTTTTCTCCCTTTCACTCTCTTTTGCCTCCTTTACTGTGCTCCCAGCCTCATTTCCTTTTTATTTTAAACTAAGACTCTATGAAACAGTTTTTATATTTTAGGGCCCTTTATTTGCTGTTTTCAATAAGCAAAACAATACCATAAATATATAAAGAGAAAGTCAAAAAGCTAATGTTCTTTCCCATTTCCCAGCACTCTAACATCAAGGTTCCAGGGTTGACTGGATGGTGGATGTCCTGCTAATCCATCCTCCTTGATCATTCCAACAAATCCAAGCACCTGCACACTGATAGAAATCTGTTGGGGATTTTTGTTCTTGGCCTCTCAACCCCACCTCTCTGGTCCCATCTCCACCTTCTCTCTGAGATGTATGAGAAGAAGAGGTGGAGGGAAGTGCCCAGAGTCTTAGAGGCAGCTCATCTCCTGGGGGTCAATGGCCTTACCTTGCAACAGTGTCCTCGGGATGAACTTCCCCAGGACTAGGACTAGCAGGGCTGCTCTGCTGATTTTGGGGAATTTTGTGGAAAATTTTTTTTTTTTTTTTTGGAGATAGGGTCTTACTCTGTCACCTAGGCTGGAGTGCAGTGACATCATCATAGCTCACCACAACCTCAAACTCCTCACCTGAAGCAATTCTCCCGTCTCGGCCCCCCAGAGTGCTAGGATTATAGGCATGTGCCACCATGCCTGGCCCTGATATTTACTTTTGTATTATGGGACTCTTTTAAAGTGGTTCCTATGTTCTTTTTTATAAACCTGAGAGGGACAGCAGAAGAGAGATGAGAGTGAGACGGAGCAGTAAGAAAGCAAGACAAAAGGGGCATCGGGTGGGCTGGATGTTGGTACCACCTTTGTTTTCTTTCCTTCTTTTTTTATAAAGAGAATGCTTTCTGAATTTTATTCTGAAGGAATGATAAATATTGTTTTGTGTTTTATAATTTATTTTGGATGTTCTATATTGGAAAATTAATTTTTTACTTAGAAAAATAAAACTGTTCAAACTGAAAAAATTATGTAATAATTGATCTGCATATATTAATTTGCTTCCTTGTCAATTCTCTTTGTAGAATGTGTTCCCTTGACAAATGTCTATAACAGTCTGATAAGATTTTCCAGCCTGAGCAAGAGCAAGACCCCGTCTCTACTAAAAAAATAGAAAGAAATTATCTGGACAACTAAAAACATATAGAAAAAATTAGCCGGGCATGGCGGCGCATGCTTGTAGTCCCAGCTGTTCGGGAGGCTGAGGCAGGAGGATTGCTTGAGCCCAAGAGTTTGAGGTTGCTGTGAGCTAGGCTAACGCCATGGCACTCACTCTAGCCAGGGCAACAGACTGAGACTCTGTCTCAAAAAAAAAAAAAAAAAAGATTTTGATGCAACTAGTACAATTATACCAAGGTTATTTCATTCCCCATCGGGGTGAACCCCATCCTACCTCTCACCTCTCCAGCCTCCCACGCTCCCAACATTTACAACCAGATATAACTGCCTCAATCAACCTGACATATCCTGGACCCCCATCCCCTCAAGGCCTGGCCTCTGCCTCAATTTCCAAACCATCTTTTAAAGGTAGAATGGGCTGAACATTCTGTGTTTTAAGGTCCTCTAGGAAAAATTACCACTCTCATATACTGGCTAGATATTAGTAGGGAGAGAGGTGAGGTCCTTACCTTACCAGGGTAAGGCTGGTATTCATTCCCAGGGAGGGACCACTAAGGGTGGAAAAAAGAATTCTCCACAAGCCCCTCAGTGCAACACTGAATTCACCCCACCTGTGGGTCCACTAATGGAGCATCTAGGATACGCAGGGGCTGATCTGGAGCCTGGGAATACAGAGAAAAATCAGGCATGTTCCCTGACACTGAAGACGAAGGACACTGCTTAGCAAAGAAGATGCCAGAGAAAACAATCAATTACGATTACAGTGTGTGAGATGTAAGAGTGGTCCATAAGAATGGGAACAGGGGAAAGGATTGACTAATTTAGCCCTGAAGCCTTCCCAGAGGAGGCAATGTCTGAGATGGGTCTCCAAAGGTGAGTAGAAGTTCTCCAAGCAGAGAACCTAAAAAGAAATTCAAAACAGAAGGTATAAAAGAGGCTAGATTTCTCTTCAAGATTAGAGGAGAAATAGAAAAGTTTTACTTTAATGAGGAAAAGGTATTGAGAACAGAAAAAAACACAAAGAGAAAGAGACATAGCTGCAATAAAACATGGAAATAAAAATAATGTTTTTTGTCAAAGGACGTTTTGGTTAACTAAAAAACTTCAACCAGGCCAGGTGTGGTGGCTCACACCTATAATCCTAGCACTCTGGGAGGCCAAGGCAGAAGGATCGCTTGAGCTCAGGAGTTCAAGACCAGCCTGAGCAAGAGCAAGACTCCATCTCTATAAAAAATAGAAAAATTAGCCAGGCGTCATGGCGTTGTAGCACTGGCCTGTAGTCCCAGCTACTCGGGAGGCTGAGGCAGAAGGACTGCTCAAGCACAGGAGCTTGAGGTTACAGTGAGCTATGATAAGGCCACTGCACTCTACCCCACTCTGTCGCTACTCTGTCACCACTGCTCGTGACAGAGCGAGACTCCGTCTTAAATCAAAAAAAAAAAAAAAAAAAAAAAAACTTCAACCAAAGAGCAGTCTATCAACAGTAATTTAATTTCACCAAACAACATATCTGCCAAATTAACACTCAATTTCACTGATTTTGTAGTTCTCTTGGTTTGGCTGTCTAGTTGTATAAGAGCATATAAGACCTTATAGCTGGTTTTACATTTACATATTTAAATAACATTATATGATAAATGTAATTTAAGCCAACAATGGAACTTGTGGGAATTTTTTTCCCTTTAAAAGAATACAAATACTGTGAAAGTCTATAAAATACTCATCATTTATAATCACAAAATACAATTTTCCAGGCTTTTAAAAAA